AGAGATCGAAAATGCTGCCTGTAGGCTTAGCCAGTGTGGAACCCCTCTGTTTGTGGGTACAGGGCTCTGATTAAAGAAGCACAGAGTGCCATGTCCTCATTTTTGCAGGTATGCGAGGCCGGGGACTAGAATGAAGCAGAACATAATTAAGCAGGAGCAAAGTTTTAGGTGCGAATTGAGTGATAATGCCTCAGTGCCTACAGATGGTGCTAGGTCTTTAATAGCAATTAATAGCAAGCAGCAGTTTTTGCAAAAGCAAAATATGGAAAATTAGCTGCCTATCAATAAACGATGAGTCCCATAAACTGAGACTTCATGCAGTGGGAGTGTACACTGTTCTTCAAAAGAATGAGGTTAGGTTACTCTTAACTGTCACAGAAATGTGTTTCTACCACATAGAGAAAAGCTCACAACAGAACAGATGGTGTGATCTTACCTTTAACAAATAAATATGTTTCATGAATATATCTGCATGTGATTATCAATCAATATGTTTTGTGCATTTTACACTAACAGTCCTTGATCCTTTTTCCAGTTTAAAAGTTTCTTGAATTTTATTACTTCTCTGCATCAATCATTTTTTTTACTATGATAAAAATTCATGCAAAAAATTTACCAGATTAACCATTTGTAAGGGAATTCTCTATCAGTGTTATCTACCTGCACATCTTGTGCAACTGATCTCTACAACTCTTTCATCACTGTAACTTCAGCATTGGGGAGGCAAAGGCAGAAGGATTGCAAGTTCAAGCCTAACCTGGGAAATTTAAGTAACGTAGGAGACTCTGTCTCAAAATGCAAACTAAATAAAAGAGCTGGGGATATAGCTCAGTGCAAAGGCTTTGAGTTCAATTGCCAGTGCCTAAAAGAAAAAAAAAAGGAAACAAAGAAAAAAGCTACCATCATCAACAACAACAACAATAAACTGGGGCTGGTGATACAGCTCAATGGTACAGCCTCTGCCTGGCAAGTGCAAGGTCCTGAGATCAATTCCCAGTACAACAGAGCAAAACAAAACAAAAAGCTAGTTAAATTAAGAGATTGAAACTGTACACCTGCTAAACACCAACTCCCCATTTCTCTTCTCAACCCTGACCTTACTAAGTACAGTTCTGCTTTCTGTTCCTGTTATGGTTTGTATCTGGATGTGCCCCCACAGCCTCATGAAGTGATGGGAGCTGGGACTTTTGGAGGTGGCTGAATCTAATATTTGTGATTGGTTTGTTTTCTAGTGCTGGGATTGGTGGTGTGAGTTCTGCACCTTCCCAGGAGCATGGAGCTGGCATACAATATAAGAGAGGGAAGGAGACACACTTTCCACTTTTTTGCTACTGCTGCTTGTAGCTTCCATGAAGGGTTACCCCTCAGCCATACCAACCTGCTTTGGAGCCAGCTGAGCATGGACTGTGATCTCCACAAATTGTAAGCTACAAAAACGTTTCCTTCCTTGTTTTTGGGAGTTGGGTATCTTGTCTCAGCAACAACAGAAAAGTAACCAAGATAGTTCCTAAGTGTTGGTTACTATAGACACTTTTCTGGGTGGAATCATGCTGTATCTGTCATTTGTGACTAATTTATTTCATTTATTTTAATCCTGATGTTTATATGTGCTGTTGTGTATGATACTATTTCCTTCTTTTTAAGGCTGAGTAACATTCCATTGTATACACTACATTTTATTCACCTATACCCCTATCCATTCATGTTTGGGTTACGGACTCTGCTATTGTGAATAACACTGCAGTGAATTAGTTTACACCTACAGCTTCAAAATCCTGTTTATAACTCTTCTGGATGTTGTAAGAAGTGGGATTTCTGGCTCATCTGTCAATTCCATTTTAATTTTTTGAGAAAACTTCATACTGTTCCCCATAGCAACTACACCATTCAACATCACCACCCGCAATTCATAAGCTTTCCAATTCCTCCATACCCCACTCTTACCTCAGCAGTTACTATATCCTAGGATTTGAATAGTGCTAAGCAATCAATTTTTAACTGAGCATCCATTTGGTGCCAGGTACTGTTCTTAGCGTTTTTGATGCAGTAATGAACAAAGGAGACCAATGTAAAAAAGATGCTTATCTTAACTTTTATTGGTGCATGCTTGTAGTACATAATGATTACATTTATTGCAGGAAGTTGATATAGGGAGAAAGACATCTTCATTTTTGTTTGTGGGGCTGGGTACTGGGAATCAAACTCAAGACCTTCTGCTTGCTAGGCAGGCGCTTGTGCCACTGAGCTACATCCCCGGCCCTGCTATCTTCATTGTTATTCTATCCACTTCCTCTCCTTTCTCTCCCCTTTACCTCCATCTCTTGATCCTCTTTCCTTTTGTAAAATCTAGCCCTCTCTCTTTCTAGTATATATCTTTTATTTTTCTCTTTATTTACACTTTGGGTTTCTCATATAGGAGAAATGATGAGAGTAACTTGAAGAGTTTTTTTTATATATATATACCATAAGGATGAAGTTTATCTCACTGGGCAGTTGTAGTTAATTCCCTCTGCACCATATTCTGAAATCAGAAAGCAACCACAGTGTAGCATATATTGTAAAATGGACCGAGTTCCATTAAATGTGGACTGGAAGTACTCTGGACAAGAAAATTTATAGTTTTGAATCAAAAGGATGATCCAAGCATCCAAAAGAAAAACCCAGTCCAGATGCCAAACAACTGAACCAGGACATTTCAGGATCCGATATACTGCACAAACATCACAGGGTCTGCCCAGTAAGTCTGTCATCTCTCTTGGTGTTATCACAGAACCAGGACTTTATATCGTATATAAACCACTGGTCAACAGCAGCTTTCACAAGAAACCATTATATGACCTAAATACTGGGCACCAACAAAAAAAATGCAATACTGTGTTAGGCTCTGTGAAGAGAAAGGAAGGAGCGGGTCGTGGTCCTTGTCATGTGATAGGAAGGTTGGACAAATACGCAAGAAGTTCAGGCACCATTTATGGGAGACGCAGAAACAGGCTAGATGGTCAAGACAAATGGGTGAAAAGTTAACTCAAACTCAAGGAAGAGTAGGATGATTTCATGGAATAAGAAACCTATGGTTATTTTTGAAGAATAAGTAGATTTCTACAGATAAAGATAATTGGTAAAAATTCCAGCTTTGCAACTCAAAAGGAAAGTGGGATTTGTGGAATGTGACACATCTCCCAGAGTAGCACCACTGTCTTACCCGGGAGACGATTTTTGCTTTTCAGATTTTAGGTCTATGTGACCCATACTTATGTCTTCCAGCCTTACAGTAAGCCACAGATATTCCAAGGTGGCTAAGAAAGATGTGTCACAAGGTGATGGAAGGGTTGAGTCATAAATATGTAGAACCTGAGTAGCAGAATACAGAGTCTAACACTGTCCCTCAGGTGTTTGGGCTTTGAAACCACAAGGGTAAGATGTTTTCCCACAGTCAGATTATTCCTCGGCTGTTACGAATTAAATAATCCATTATAGCAATGAAACATTGGAAAATTTGGGAAAACTGGAGAAGACTAGTGGAAAATGTTTGAAATGAAAACTTTGAAGTGTCTCACATCTAAAACACTGCTGGTATTAAATATAAAACTTAGGAATGCCATTGATTTGTTAATGCAAATATCTCAAAGGCCTCTGATTCTTTTTGCTCAATAAATCTGTTTAAGAAATGCTTTGCTAGTTTACAAAACATAATAAGCAATGGTCTTTAGACAACCAAAGATTCTGAATGCAGTCGTATTTTTAGCAGCAACCAACCAAATGGAATAAGGGAAATATTGTACTACACAAATGATCCTGCCACTACTAACAGCAATCCCTTCAGAGTAAACCATCAGCAGTTTCACCGCCCCCTATAGAATAGATTTCCTTGTGGCATAAGAAATGTGATAAGATTTTCAACTGCTTAATACAGCACCAAATAGATATCCATATACTTATTTTTTTTTTACTTATAAATTTGCAACAGTACAGGAATAACTTCAATAGCAGAGGGACCTACTCACTCAATTATTGGGACTATCACCATTACCTCAAATACATCTTCTGCATTTGCCAAAAGTTTAACTAAAATGAGATGGCTGGAATAACTAATATCACATAAACATAAAACAAACTAATAAAACTGCAATTTCTTCTTCCAGCCTTTTTGGTTATGCTAAAATAGTTCATTTCAATTTTTAGTAATGAGTCACCTTAAACAATTTCTATGACATTATCCTTGATATTTGTCTCAAAGAGGAATGAAACGTGATGTCCTCCTGAAAGTTTCAATCCCTGCAAATCAGTGACCCTGCACTACGTGGAGCCTGTAAACACTTCCAGTCAGCAAATACGGTGATTTCTCCTCCAAAGCTATTTAAAACTCTTTATAATGAGGTTTTATTTCAGTGAATTTAGCTGGCTAGCGTAATTCTCTAACTGTACAAGGACACATGTATTACACAGAAATACACAATCTGCTTTATGTTAAGTAAGTATAAAAGCACGTATGCTTTAATGTATGCGCTGTTCAAAAACTGTGTTGAAATATTTATAAATGGTATGTTAAAGAATAGAGAGTTCTAAATGGGCTCTTTTAAGATAAACTTATTAAATCAAATGCATTTTGAAATACAATATGTACATGAACTCTCCACCTCCATGCTTCTCCAAGGGAGAACTAATGGCTGTTAAAACCAGAAAGTCATTGAAAGTACAATGTCGCTCTCCAAAGGGTGTTCTTCGGCCCCCTCATTTGTTCTCTTCACCTCTCCTGGAGCACATTAAACAGGAAGATGCAGTACACAAGAACTATCAAAAGGGAGCACTTTTGAGCCACCAAAATTGTATGTTCGCCTAAAAGCCACAATCCCCCAACTACAGACAATGATACTATCTCAGGTATTTTATGTGCTAAAATGATCATTAAAAATTAAGCACCACATATAAGCTGCCATTTAGAATATTAATTTACCTTTGCTAATCATCTTTTTAACTTGAGGCTAAAAGAGTTCACTTACCGTTCGGATACTCTGGCAGGGTCCAGGAGACATTGAAGGAGTCCTGTGAGTAGGAGTGGGCTGCAGGGGCGGCCACCCCTTCAGGGACGTCCTCGTCAGTCAGGGCCTGGCTGGCCTCACTCACCGCACAGCCGCCTCCGGTGCAAGCCTAGACAGGGAGCAGAAATGAGCATCATTTCACGCTGAATTCATAAAGTTTAGATGGCCATGGAGGAAAGCGAATTCCTAACGTAAGTTCTGTCCTTTTAAATGGTGTTGTCTTTACCCCTCCAAATAAACCTGTGTTGATGCAGAAGTTTGTCATTGAATTGAATCACTTCCCTGGACACGAGGCAGGAATCTCCAGGAAGTAGAAATAACCAGGAAGAAGTGAATTAAAGATCAAGCTGAGTTAGAGCCTGGCCATGGAGGCTGTGAGCTGACTGTGGTCAGCCCTGCAGGAAGCAGCTGCACACAAATGTTGCAGAATGAATGAAACACACACACGTGTGCACACATACACAAGTAGACACATCCATGGGAACGTGTATATACATCACATGGGAAAAGTACTGAGCCTGAGACTTGAAGATTGAATGATGATACCTAGGTAGGAAAAGATGTAGAGTAAATAGAACTGCTTTCTATTTAGTATTTAGAGACCAATATGTTTATATTTTGATATAAGGTCATATTAAATAAAATAACATTTCTCTGTCAATCAATATGCAACACTGTTGAGTGAATGACTAATGGCTTAGAAGGTCTAATAATTTACTGATGAACCAGAGGAGAACAACTTCATTAAAACATGGCTGACAAATTTAACATAATCTCAAAAGTTCCTTGTCCTAATATCCAAAATGGTGATATGAATGTTAAAGATAGTCAAAACTTCTGGGAAGACTTTCACAATAAACTGCAAATAACTACTCAATTTCCTGGACCAGCATTTCTTTAGGACATTGAGATGTACCAACAGGGTTTTTATTAGCCCATCCTTGCCAACAATTATTAGCAATTATAGCTTTACATAACAATGATGCTTAAAAACTATACTTAAACTGTTTCATATTTCTTTAGTTTACAACTGCCATTTACACAATGAAATTTAAAGATCTTTCAGAAAGCACTAAATTTCACCACAGTTAATAAGAAAATGAAGCAAATGGACCAATATCAAAAGTAAACAGTTATTTAGTCCATTTGCATGGAAGACAGATACTATTAGCATAAAATATTTAAGCTCATTTTGCTTATTTTGGCCTGTCCACTGCTTTTCAGTTAGATATTGGACGATTGGTTTTTCTGGCACTTCAAGCAATGCACATTGTTTTCCTTAAAGATAGAAGAAGACTGGCTGGGTTTTGCATATTTTCTTGTATGATAGCTTAATACTATTTGCCCCGCTGTAACTAGTTGCAAATCTTCATACGTATAAATAATGACTTATTGTCAACAAATATGGAGACCACGCTCACTTCCTGTGCTGGAAACAGGAGTAATTCTCTTCTCCAGGATAATTTCTCATCAGCTTAAGCAAGTTTCAGGCCGCTGAAATTGTGATTTGGGCATGAAATTGCATTACCATTGGCATCTTGATTAACTCCAGTGTTTTCTCTGATCCTCAACCGTGTTGTGTGCACATACGTGGAAGCAGAAAACCTTACTTTCGGCTGAGAATGGAATATGCAGATAAAGAAACATTCATGTGTCTAAACCTCGACTCAAAATTTTGGGACAGGCCACTTGTTAGTGCAAAAAGTGACTACCCAAAAATTAAATGCTAAAAGGTTACCAAAAAATATGGTAGAAAAACAGACATAGGAGGTTATTAAATTATCCTAGGGGAAATGTTGTCTCATCTTGTTTTAATACTGATAACAAAATGCATTTCAGTTCTAATAATCTACTTGTCATTATTTAAATGTGACATGTCCTGACCACCGTCCTTGCTGACTCTTCCTAGAGAATATGGTACCACGTGATGTAGGATTTCATATTTTTTAAATAGGACGAGAATTTAAATTTACTTTTGAGAATTATATGCTCTTTTCTAAGATAAATAAAACCACCTTTAGGAAAACTGCTGTTCTTTAGAGCATAGCATCTGAGATCTGTGAAGCAGTAATGTGACAGAGTCCTCAAGAATCTAAGAAATGATGAAAATTTTCCTTAAATGAAATGTGTAAGGAAGCCCCTGAAGTAACAGAATTATCTGTGGGCTTTCTTTTTCTTGTGCTTTGCTTTGCCCGTGCTTAGAGGGCTTGTTCTTAAGGTGGCTTCCAATTGTCTAGTGTAACTGGCCCCAGCCACATGAGATGGAGCCAACTGGTATCTTGTTGTATCTGCATAAAAGGCCACTTTATTCAAAGCAATGGACAGATGATTGGAAAAACTAAACAACATAGTGGCACTGATTAAGGTCTGAAAACCTGTGAGCCATTAAAACAAGTTGTTCTAACCCATTGCCCACAGCTTTTGTTTTGTTACAGCCATTTAAAAACAAAATTCACAAAGTCATAATGCCACTTTTAATTGACCAATTAATCTAGCAAAAGGAAGTTCATGAAAATGTAAATAATAAAATTATGTCAGTTATTTTTGAAATTATGGGTATTAGAACTAGCATTCTCTTTTCCAACAGTTTATGTTCAGCTAAGCAGGGCCTGACAGTGTAACAAATAAAGCATATTTTCAGGGATGAAGAAAAATAAATGAGAGTGCTTTATCCATATCAATCTTTTTTTGAAAGTCAAACTGATTATTTCCAAAAACCTTGGCTCATTCTCACCAAGTGACAAATGGCTAGCCATACTATGACGTTATCAAACAACACACGTCTTGAGACCTAGCTGCATTAATGGTATCTTTATTAAATTCCTACCTATCTTTATTAGCAGCCATCACCCCTTATCACATCTCTAAATACACTTTTTTGAGTGAAGCAACAAATTATAATATTTCTTGCAGTGTTAAGAGCATCTGCTTTGGAACCACGCAGTCCCCAACTCTGAAGTTTTCCAGAAAATTATTTAATTACATCAAAAGTTCCAGATTCTTTATGAAATGAGTAGACTTAGTGATTATTCATCCACGCAAGAATTGTGCACTTAAACTTCCACCAGGCACTGTGCCTGAACCTGCACACAGAATTTTGTAAGATGCAGACCTTGTGTTTTAGGAAATCATAAGCTGGAGTCAAATGTAAAAATTAAACGAAGTTGCATGAAGTAACCTTTCTGCTCGGAGCTTGGAGTAAGCAAATCATTCTGGTTCAGATGTCTGTGTATTTTCCTCTATTCCAAAGGCAGCTTAAAATCTTTGTTTCCTGTTTATTTTGTTTTGCAGCATTTAGTCAACATGCTAAGGCTATTTATAAAGGAAACTCTGTTTTACTGAGAACCCGACTTCCCTCTACTAATCTAATGACCTTGAAAGCTAGTTATTATATTGCAACTGTGAAATATACAATAATCCCTCAATTAACCAGGATGAACCTAAAATGTTCTGGTTCATTTAATTTACTGCTTAACAGAGTTAAGTTAAAAAGAAAAAACCTTTTAGTTGAATACTTCCTGAAAATACATGACAGCATTTTCTGCCCTAATAAATACAGTGAAATTGAAAATAATATGAGTATGTTTATTAGGGCAAGGACTTCTCCACTTTATGACATCCAGGGTTGATATTATTCAGCAGCTGACAGATACTGTTTGGGTCCATAGGATGTTGTTCGGTGCTACCTTTTCAGCATCATAGAATTTTAGAGCTCAAAAAGCCATTCAAAATCATTTAGTTCGATGTCCTAATTTTAGGCTTGAAAGAAGTAAAATTCAGTGTGGTTAAGCGAATCTGCCTTCGGTTACAGCAGCAAACTCTGAAATAAGACTCAGGAGAGCAGATTCCTTTGGTAGTGGTGTTTATTTTTCAAAATATTAGAGAATTATAAAATATAGGATATTGGCTTGGACCTTGATTGGTTGCAGAGCTTATCCTAAGAATCGCCTTGGCAACAGAACTTTTTTTCATGTCACTTGCTTACCTTCCTGGTAAAATCCAGGAGCTCAATGATCTTACGTTTAATTTTGCTTCCTTGCAAGTAGTCGAAACTTTTCTTGATTTTGATGCTACTAGTGTTTTGAAAACAGTGTGGGCTTCACATTAGCTTTCGAAAATGAAGTTAGTATACGTCTTACTTCTTGAGGAACGCAGCTGTGCAGACCCCGGACTGCTCCTTTGTGAGCCGGGCTGCTATGCTGCAGCCCGAGGCGTGCACTGTGAGTCTTGGACAGGATTTTTAACGTCTGCTGATTGCCCTTTCTCAAGGCAGCAAGTCAGACAGTTAGCAGTAGTTGAATGCAGTTTATTTTCTCGTGGTATAATATTTAGAGCATTCAAGAGCCTGTTAAGTAAAATGAATGCATACGCAGTGTCTACATAAATGTAAATTTATTCATAATCAAGAGCAGAATATTTTCTATGGCATTTATCAAAGCAAATATCCTGATCTAGGTATTGCTATAAAATGAAGAGTGTGTTTAAAACAAATAGGGACAATCTCATGTTTATATTCAGTTATTTTCAGATGTGCTATTAAACTTAAAAAAGATTATATTTCATCAAAAAAACAAAAGGAACTACCGAGTGTAAATTCCACGGTAATATCAAGGTCTTTTAAAGGACCTTTGTCTAAAAAGTGCTATTTTTGCATCACAAAATACTACAATCTATCTTAAGAAACCCCTCAAGTACATGGATTCTGAGGTCTTATTAAATGACTTTTCTTCTGAAATAAGTGTAATATAAACCACAGTACAGTAAAATATCTGGGTGTTATTTAAATATTCTTTTAAAAATATAAGATCTAACATTTCACACTGTGCATTATTTTTTCTAATGAACACAAAATCCAAAGGGAAATAAATTTACCAATCTAAACATTTTTGAGACATATTCATAATGCATTTTGGATAACAGAAATAATAATATCTGATTATCCTGAATTAGATTTGGGGAAATCTACCGATCAGATAGTTACTTCAACACTTTTCATAATATTGAAAAACACAGGTATTGGACCAACAGAATTCACATTTAGGATATGAAATGGCTTTTCTATATCAATAGCAACACATGAGGTTTTTGGTGTTTTGCCTTCTTATTTTTTCTAAGTGAGGGAGAGAGAAAAGGCAGGACAAACAGAAGGGGGCAGAAAAACTGAACTTACTCCCAACTTGATGAGGTACTCAGTACCAGGGATAAGGTCCTGCAGCTTGTGACCAAGGGAACTCTCACTGCTGTTATAGACGACGGCCCAAACTGGAAACCCATGTGTACGATTGGAAATATATAATATATAGTGTTCCAGAATGCCATTGAGTTTCCCCGGTTGTTTCCACCTGGGAATAGAAAAATACAGCATTATCATCGTCATTCATTCAAGTCAAAGCTGAAATGTACAACATTTTCAAAGAACACATTGGAACTTGGATTTGTTCCACTGCAAAAAACAAACAAACAAAAACCCCACCACACTGAACACTCAAAAGTGATTCATTCCCCCTCAAATACCCAGGTGGTTATTAAATGCTTATTCTGGGTGACAGAAAGAAAACATGACATCATCTCTCCCCTTTAGTTACTTATAATTTCAAATAGCTGATAATATGAAAATGTATGAGTATTGATTTTGAATTTAAACTTGAACAAAATTTGAAAAAAAGAGTACATCTGAGAACTTATAAAATAGAGGAGAAGGGATCACAAAATTTTCCTTAAATAAAAGCAGGAGTCAAATGCACAGTTACAGATAAGTCTAAAAATCAGGGAAGTTGGACCTTAGAGGGGCTGAGGCAGTCAGGGGACTTCATGAATGAGGCTACGACCCACTGCCCAGATACCTAAGGTCTCATCCTGGAAGCCGGCTTGGATTTGGAGGCTGAAGGAAGAGTCCAGGGTGTTCCAGGGCTGGAGGGTTACATGAGAATGAGAGGATAGAATGGGAAGTGGCAGAAGAGATAGGAAATAGCTCAGGTGAGAAAGGCAGCAGTGGGAAATCTTCTGGGACAAGCAACGTGGCTCAGCTCAGAAGTCCACAAAAGCTAATACAGAAGCTTCCATGGAAAATGGGATGGGAATCTGAAGTTTTTCAGCTTGAAGGAAAGGCATCATTTAGCCACTCTAAACTTCGGCAGATGAGGAAACTGAGATATATATGAGAGATAGATGTTGCATTTGTGGTTAGTACAGAGCGCTACTAGATTGCAGCTCAGTAATACAATAGATCTTATACTGCATTTAATAGGAAATGGACAAAAGTCCCTAATGTCAGAAATGATCTAATATGCTTAGATGTGAAAGCTCTTTTGTAATTTTAACTGCAAGGGAGTAAAAAACTAAGAAGGCCCTTGTTCACACTCAAAGAAAAAATGTATGCTTGCACAAGTACACATACGTGAAGGTAGACTGTATGTACATGGTCAGTTTTTCCTTTATGGAAGTTTGCACAAACTCTGCGTACATACAGGGCGCAGTTGATTGTATAAGGACAAGATGGAAATTAAGTTGGCAAGAGGTAATCAAAGGTTCCCAGAACCACTGATCTAATCACCTCTGTGCATCTAATCACAATAAAATTAACCTGATGTCACAAGCCCTTTTCCTGATTGAACTCACTGGGATTATTCTTGCATGAAGCAGTGTATGATAGAGGCGACATTTCTACTTACTGTACATCCACAGTCCTAGAATCCAAGACTGTCACCACGGGGGGTGCCACGTGTTCGGGGGGCAGCTGTGCTGTGTGCAGCGGGACCCAGGAGCTGTTTGTACACCCGACGTGGGTACACGCACTGAGGAGGAAGTGGTGAGAGGTAAACACTCCTAAGTCTAGGGCAAGAGAAGAAAGGAGAATTCACTTAGGATCACGCCTATTATTCACCAGGTCTCACTCCTCCTCTGCACGCCTTCCTCTCAGTGCCGTTACAGTGAAGCTTCCAACAAGAATCAATAGGCATAAAAATTAATAGCAATAAAATAAATTCAAGTACATTTAAAGAGGTTTCATTCCTTAAACATCCTACACTCAAACAGACAAGTGTCAGTCAAACTCTTATATGACTTTTCCAAATTGACTTCAAATTGACCAGGTAAATCACTTTCTGAATTTAGTCTTAGTTCAATGACTTTGTTAAACATAAATGAGATATTAAATTATTTTAAAGCATATTTGAAGATAACAGGAGTTGCTTTTGAAATGCAAATACATAGCCTGTAACAAGGACTTTGTGTTCATAATTCTGTTTGCCAGATTCCTTTCTTCTTCTGTCTACCTGACCAACTATTATTTGATCTTCACACTCTTCAGATTCTGTGCATATACCTTTTGCTTTCTTAAGAGGTCCCTAACACTCCTTGCTGACACCCTGGTGCAAGGTGGATCTAGAATTCGGTCCTCTGTGTCCCTTAGTACTTTGCACATGACCTTAGCATGACACTCACAACATGGTGTCATCATTATTTATTAACATGACTGTCTGATCCAATGGAATGAACACCTTAAAAGAAAGGATAGTGCTAAAGTCATCTGGCAACTTTGGTGTCTGAGACAAGCCTAGCACATTGTTAGTTTTGAAAACATGTTTGAATGAATGGATAAAGAACTTGTGAATGAGATGCTGTTGATAGAGTTGAGCTAAGTAAGGAAAAGGGCCGCTAAAAGTGAAATAATACCCTTCGCTGAAATAATCTCTTCCTCCCCTGATCTTTCCCCGTACTTTGTATCTGTCAACCTATGCAATAGTTACCGTATCACTTGCATTAGAATAAATTAATCTGTAATTTCCTAATTCTTTTTTGAAATACTCTAAATCCTTCATTTATAAAGGTGCTAAGTAATGTAACCAAAGTTTCTTCAAGTTTACCAAGGTTTAATATCATTCACACTTTTCTGCTACTAAAAATAATCGGTATTTTCCAGTTTTTTTGAAGTATATTAGTCACAATTTAAGTAACACATATTCTTAAATCTCATTAACCTTGAACCATTGCAATTTCATGTTTAAAAGAGTAATGGAATGCAACCTAATTCAGTCAAATAGATTTTGCATTTCAATGATAGCAAAGTAAACTCGGAAAAGAAGCTTTGATTTTCACGCAAAGTACAACCAGTTGTCCAAACATGTAGGTCATCAGAAGAAAGGAGAACTGAGTTTACAGTAAATAGAGTTACCTTAGTACAGAAAGTGGTCACAAAATGGAATTCTGGGCCCTTTCCATTAAACCATGTTCTCGTTACCATTTCTCTCCTATAAGTATCCAATGGTGCTCAGATGAGATGGGACACCCTCAGTCACTGTGACCAGAAGGGACCCCGCAGGGACCCTTTGCAGTGGCCAAGCAAGTGAAGCAATGTGGCCTGGCCAGGGACTGCAGGGATGACAGGCCCAGCTGCACCCTGTATACCTCAGCAAGTCCAACATGGGGTGCCTAAACTCAGACCGGCATTTCATGCGACTCAGGAAGTTAAAATCATGAGAGCCATGGACTCAGATGGAACCAGAGAATAAACTCAGATTCGCTGCGTGGAAACTTTGGTATTTCATAGAATGAGTCCCAGCCAAATAGAACTGTGCACACTGTAGAAAGGTAGAAGAGAGAAGCCAAGGGCTGACTCTAGGCTTTGGCGTAAGCAAAGAGCAGGGTGAAAGAGCCATCATTTGGTTGAGGAAGGGCGTGGACAGGAAAAAATAGAGTTCATATTTCTGACATGGTAAGATTCAGGAATTTGTTAGACAACTTGGTAGGAACTGTTTAGCAGGCAGTTTGAATACAAGTTTAAGAGACAGGAAGAGGCTGTGATTTGAGAAATGTTTTGGAGAGGCAGCCTCCTAGAGAGAGTGCCTAAGGCTGGTGAGAATATGAGAGAGTAGAGAAGAGGCAGGAGGACAGAGCCCTGGTGTAACGTTAAACAACCATTAAACAACAGTGAGAACATCAGAAGCCGACCAAGGAGGCAAAGAAAGACCGACTTAGGAATGAGATACACAGTGAGCCTGCAGGTCCCAAAAGGCAAGAGCAGCAAATTCTGTAAGAATTGGAGTCAAATGAGACTAACGACTGACCAGTGGGTTTAGCAATACGGCAGTGACGGGGAATCGCAGTGGAAGATTGAGGACACTTGTGGGCACCCAGCCTGGCTTCAACCCATATGTGAAAGGGTGGAAGAAAGGTGAGTAAGACAGTCAACAGAATCATTTTCTGCTAGAAAATGGGACAGCAGAGAATGCATCAACAGACTACAATTTAGTAAGAGTTAGTGTTATGGATTAAAAACTGCTGGTCAAATTGACGCCAGCTGGATTAAATCACCATGGTGCTGAGTGTAGGTGGCCCACCTGAGGAAAGTTGCCAGCATAAATAGAGAGGTGGAAGAGAAGTGAGGCGTTGTGGGTTTCTCTAGGTGTTGCTGTTTGAGCCGTTGGTTCTCCTGGAAGAGCTCTGGTCCTTACATGGAGCATTGCTTCCTGGCTCTGGAGGGGAAGACGTGTTCCGTTTAATCTCCAGGACAAACTCATCATGCTGGCTTCCTGGCACGTCCTTGACTGTGCTTATTGTCGGAGGAGCTCTGGACCTCCATGTCTGTGAGATGGCTGTGGTGCTTTTCAGGGCAGCCCTGGTCTTTGTTGTGAGTGTGGCTTCTTGGCTCCAGCATAGAACCCCCAACCTACTAGCACAGCTCCTTCACTCCACTGGCGTAGACTTTCTAGCTTCCACCGCTAACCTCTGGACCTTCTCAGCACAAATCCGTAAAACAGACTGGTGTGAGTCCTTCTTGTGGACTCTGGACCTCCCGTTGGACCCGTGGGAGGTATTGTCATGAGCTCTGGTCTTCATTTGGATTCATGCAGGACATTGCTGTGGATCCAGGCCCTTGGCTGAGTATCTGGGTTTTTAGTGTTGTGGACAGGTTTCCTGAGTTTCTTGTGTTAACTCTGGGTGACCATAAATTCTGTGTCCTGATTCTAATTGTTCAACTCACAACCCCTGACTACTCACAACCCCTGACTAGCAAAGATTTTAAAACATACTTTAAATGAGAGAAAAGTATGCCGTGTGCTGATGGGAATGTTCTAACAAGGAAGAAAAATACTGATAATGAATGAAAATAAAAAAGAGGACTGTTTTTATATATGTGAAAGAATCGAGTGTAGTACAAGAGGGAAGAGCTGGACAAAGAAGGGGCAGCGACAGTCCATGCCACAGGGAAGAGACGCAGCGGGTGGAGTACAAACACTGGCAGATGGAGAGATGGTGGCAGAAGTCCAGCGGTGTCCCTTTCTAACCACTTCTGTGCTCTCAGGAAGCGGGAAAATGTCAACCAGGAGGAATCCTCTGATTCTCAGGAGCAAGAACACCGCCACCTCCTGCTGTTCCTAGAATAAAATCTAATAATGGACTGTGGGACGCTCCGCACTTTGGCATCCTTTACTCCTCATCCCCTTGCGTTTCTCTCCTCTCACACTCCAAGCCTGCACTATGGGGCCCTTGAAGCTCTGCTCCTTCTCACTAAAATCTATTTTCCCCCTCACATTTGGCAGACTTTTTCTCATTCATCAGGCTGACCTCTCTCAGAGTGATCTTCCTTGATAGCTGAACGATGTGGCCTATCAGAACCTACTAGAAATTGCTTTGTCATTTATTTCTGTCTTGTCATTCTCTCAGAAGAATGAATTTCTTTTTCCTCTCTTACTGGGGATCGAACTCACGACCTCATGCTTGTCAGGCAGGTGCTGTGCCACTGAGCTATATCCCCTGCCACAAGAAAGGAAACCTTTTGAATTCAAAGAGATAATTTCCTTTCCTATCGTCTTCACCTCACTACCTCTAGGCTTCATGAGATGACTGATTAGAACGCTTTTATTTCTTAGGAAGATGAATGTTCAAAACCAGAGGCTGCCTGCCCTCCATGGCTCTTAATCAAATTGCCATTTTTTCCCCCCTCAGAAATATAATAATGTCTCAAAATATCCAAAAAATCTCCCAAAAAAATCCAATGAACACAATTGTCAGGCTATAGAGGAAAAAGAATCATTGGTAAAAACTAAGGCAAAGCTGGATCTAGGTGAACAGCAAGATATGATCGTCGGGGTTGGGGATTTAGCTCAGCAGCATAAGCACCTGCCTTACAAGCAGGCGGTCATGAGTTCAATCCCTGGTACCGATAAAAAAAAAAAAAGGTATGATCGTCGAGTGCTAATGTTTCATAGCAGAACGGAAGACGGAGACCAACCAGGTCAGTGTCTTATCACGTGGGCACAGAGGTTTTTGGAGCTGTGTATTTTTCAAAGAGTCTATGACGTACACACATAACGGTTGGAAAAAAATAGTTTTGCAATACCAATCCTCCGCTCAGAAGTGTCCACGCAGCCCAGTTAACGGACACCCCACCCCCGCGGTCCCCCTCACCCTTTTCTCAGTGACCTCAGCCTTGGCACCGTTTGCTTTTCAATCACAATCCCTTTTTGGCAGCTCCAGCATCCTCCGAGATGACTCATCTCCGAGCCCGCCCTCCCTGTGACTTCCTCACTGAAGTGCCCTTCCCGTCCACTTCGTTCATCCAGCCTTCGAGTCCTCATTCCCCTGCTGCAGCACTTCTGGAACAGTTTCCGAACTAAATCTCAGGTCTCCTCTCTGCATCCTCCGGCTGGTTACTGTCCTTCTCCCCTACCTGTCACGTGGGCGGGATCAATCTGTTTGCACCACAGGAAGTTTGGTCTTTGAATGTGTGTGAGAGTCTCTTGCTCCTGGCTATGGTCTTTGGTCACATGTCACAGGGCCACGCTTTGCCGGTCCTGAGGTTTCCCATCCTACTTCTCCTCGGTCCTCTC